TCGACTACGCCCCTCCTCTCAGCCCCCCCCCCTCTCTTTTACTACCAGTCTGTTCCAGAATTAATCATTCTTTTAATCAATTAAACTGTAATCCGACAAAGTGACTGATCAACCAACCTAAAAAAGATGAAGCACTATAATTATTCATAATTAAAAAGAAACAACGACAACCCAAGAACAACCATCCTAGGGTTAAAGTGAGAAATGTTAGCAAACAAACAAATAAACAGACAAACAAACAAACAAACAAACAAACAAACAAACAAACAAAAGAGAAAACCAAAGCAACCCCCCCCCCGTAAAACAAAACCCGGAAAAAACAAAGAAAAGAAAACAACATCAACCAATAATTCGTGAATACACTGTTGACTATTATATACAGCAAACATCACCAGCACAACGTTATACTATCTGATGGTGGCGTCAATCTGTTAGGATTGGGAAAGAGAAGAAAACAAACAAACAAACAATGTGAGGCAGCGTGGTGGAATCAGGCTCTCGTCAAAATAATCGAAGTGAAGAAACTTGCATTTTTCTGCTGGTTTGTGAATTTTTATCAAATTTGTCTTTGTTGGCTCAACGCCTTTCATGCCCATTGAAGAACTCATTTCTGTGTGGATTTTTCTGAAAAACGTTGATTAAAGGCACAAAAAAATGTAACCTTTCAGTTACCAGGGACTCTTAAGCTAAGGAAATAACTAATCTTTGGCGGCCATTTTCTCACTAATTTTACCTCTGAAAACAGTCGACCCCCACCTCCTTCATTCGCAAATATCTTGACTTGTATTCAAGATAAATGGATATTTTTTTTATCCAAATAAACACAAGGGAAACAGCTTTAAGATGATACCAATAACTCTACATGCCTAAAAATTGACGAGAGCCTGATTCCACCACGCTGCCTCACAAATACTAAAACCGACAAATGAGACGCCAAAAGCAAACAAAGAAATCAACAAACGCACAAATAAAAAAAATTATTAAAAAACCAACCCACCAAAACAAACATATAAATTCAAATTCTCTCGCCAGGTGGACATGATGAACATTGACCAGACCTTCATGTACAAGCGGGATGATAGCCTTCGGGTTGACGTCATCGTTCTGCCCTTCAAAGGGAACCGTTTCGGTCTGTACATCGCTCTGCCTCATGACGTAGATGGAGTCAATGCTCTTGGTGGGTCAGCGCGTTTTGGCGTTTACTAGTGTATTTATTATACGCATTCATAATGAACACATACGGTAAGATAAGATATGATAAGATACATCTTTATTGTCCAGATCCTGGTACATTGGTTTGGTGTTTCACCACGTGTACACACACACACACACACACACACATGCACACACACACACATACACACACATGCACACACACGCAGGCTTACAATCACATGCATAATATAAATGAGCAGCAATATAAACAATAATAATATTATGCTAGATACACACTCAATGTTATTCTGATGCGTGCTCTAAGGTCGTAAGTATATATTTACTAACATGCACATGTACATAAGCACGCACACACGCACACATATAATATATGCACACAAGCGGGAGACAGTTTACTATTATACATTTTAAAAAAATGTACTGCTATATTAAAAAACAAACAAACAACTAAATAAATGAGCCGGTAATAAATAAGTGCTGTTTCCAATTGCGCCCCCCCCCCTCCCCCCACTCCTTCCCTTGGATAGAGAGCTCTCTGTCTGCCAACGTGGACTCACTGTTCCAAGGTCTCAAAATGACGAATCTCAATGTGGACATTCCCAAGTTCAAGGTCGAGTCAACTTTATCTCTGAATGGACCTCTCTCGACCATGGGGATTCACAGCGCTTTCAACCCAAACACGGCCGATTTTAGCGATTTGAGCAAAACCGGTAAGTGTTTGTTTTAAAAAGTTGAATATTAAAAAAAATAGTTTTGTAACAGTTTGAGTATATATAAGTTTCACAGCACTTTCAACCCAAAAGTGGCCTATCCCTCTCTATATAACACACACACACACACACAC